ATAAAATAATTGAGGTCCTTTTTAACTTTCCAAATGGAAAAAAAAGCTCTAAAATGAGTTAATGTAAACATATCAAAATGGTACAAGTAATCATTTCATTTCTGAAACAACTTATAAAACACAAACAGATTAAAATAGATAAAAAAAAAAACACTAAAATTACAAAATTTGAAATCATTACCTTAAACAGAATTCTACTGCAACCTAATAAAGTACAAAAGAAAAAAAAGAAACACAAACGTTCTGATAGCCTTTACAGGATTACCATGAAAACAAAATAGAAACAGTTATTGGTCACTTTCTGGTCTCATCATGGAGTAGTACTGCTGCATCTCCATATTTCCCGAACTTGGAGGCATTTGTGCAGTTAAACTGTACCCAAATGAATGCATGCTGACGGGGTGAACCACCTGCTGGCTTGGATAGATATACTGCTGATAGATGCTAAAAGCATTGAGGGGGAAGGGGCTCTGTGTGGGAGCAGAGTCTGGAAGTCCAGGGAGAAAAGCAGCTTGGGTGTGAGGATTGTTTCCTCCTGAAACTGCCATAAAGTTAGGAGGGCTGGGAGTTAGATCAGAGTGAAAATGGAGTTGGTGTCGTCTGTTCACCTCAGTAAGAGTGTGTCCTCTAGAGGTCTGCCTCATGTGGTCTGACCTGGCAGTTATGATGGTGTTAATAGGCAGCTGACTGATTCCAGTCTCCATGGGCTCTGGGTTGTTTACAATTCTACAGGTTTCCTGGGAAACGTTGATTTGTGACCTCTGTAGTTCTCCGAAGCCAGCGTTAGGAACTACAGCATTGCATTCAGATGCACCAAGTGGTGAGCTGGCCTTCATGAAGTCTCTATCAGCAGTTTTTGAAGTTGAAGGACCATAATTGTTTCGTTTCAACACGCCGATTAGCCCCGAGAGAAACTCCCATCTTCTTGTACCCAACAAAGCAACCTCGCCCGTCACAGGGTTAGATGAGGTGTACACTGCAGCTGACTGCAAGCTGGATCCACTCTCACATGTCTTTGGTGCTGCTGTACATTCAGCTGATATTGAGCTGCTGGTTTCTAACAATGTATTCATGGATACTTCAAGTTGTCTTCCCACAGTGCGAGGAAGCTCATCTGGAATGGATACTTCAGGGTTGATTGCAGAGGATACCGGTAGCGGATCAGAGCTTTGAAGCTGAGGAACAGTCACTGTCAACTCTGGTTGCAGAGAGCCATCACTATAATCTCGTTCTCTTAATGGCAATGCCTCTGGACTGGGATGTACATCACCTTTTGAGAAAGTAGCATTTAGATCCATAGGGGTAAAAGTTTCTTCAAGCTGAGAGACAGAGGGTTTGGTGTGTGGCTGAAGAGAACTACTGCAGAGCTCTTCACTGGGATCCAAACCACGACAAACCTTTGAGTTAGAAGATTTCTCTTCCACTGGACTTTGTTTCATAATGAGTGGGGAGACTGTCGTTATACATTCAGGCTTCTGAGTGGCACTACTGCATGGTTCTAGACCAACAATCTGGTCTTTAAAGACCTCATGATCAGGCTTTGAAGAGCCGTCAGCCAGGGATTCCTCTTCAGAGTAAGTTTTTTCTGGATTCAAACCAGCTTTAAAAAAAGAACAAAAACAAGAAATCAGTTAACACAAAATATACAAAGAGAAGCAATAAATAATCCCACTTTAAATTCAAAACCAATGTGTACCTTTATGTGGTCATTTTAAATGTTGTAAAGATAGCTTGAGGGCATAATTGTCACCTTAAAAGGTATTAGTTTGCTAACCAAAGAGCCATGCCAAATATCCACCTGAAGGTGCAGCTTATAATTGACTCTATTATATATTCAGCATAGCATTATTGTCATTAAGATGAAAATATAGATTGAAAAAAATATCTTTTTTAGTCTTAGAGAAATAACATACTAAGGGCATGATCTTCAAAGGTTTTCTGCGTGTTAAAATATCGGCAAACTTGTTTGTTCTCCAAGAACAGATGTTCAAAGAAGATGCAAAGTTATTTGCCTTTTGCAATTCAGGAAGCAGGGTGCACAAACCTCTTTCTTTATGTGTAAGATTTCATCAACATGTAGATCATATTCTAATGACACAATCGTGCAAATTTAAGGTTGGAGGATATTCAAATGTAAATATTTGCCGATTACAAAATTATCTTTGAAACCTGAAACTGAACTGAGGCTTTTTAGCATGATTAACATTAAATTTTCTGTGGACATTTTGGCCACAGAAAAGCATGAAACAAAAAATAGTGAAACATTTAAACGTTTCAAATACAATAAGAGACCGGCAGAACAAATGGGTTACTTCAATTGGTTGAATTAAACCTTTAATTGTTCCAATGAAAAATGTGCATTTTAGGTTTGAGAATGTAAAATTTTATTTAGCTTAAATAAAAACCATACTGTGGAAAAAGGCTTCTGAAATAATTAGTTGCCAAATGAATATCCACAAAAATATACAAATAAAGCTTTTCCTTGGAATATTACATCAATATACATTCATAATTCAGGAAATTACATATTCTTAACTTATTTTAACTTTAATTACCAATTTTAAATAAATCAGAATGAGAAATTAAGTAAAACTGATCAATTTAGAGTATATTTTTCAGTTGAAAATTGTGATCCTGTCTCAATACAACCAAAGCTTAATTTTTAAATCATGATTAAAACAGATTAGTTAAGAAATAAAAAAGTAAAATGGGTCCCAGGGAGCGATCGGTCACTATGTCTGATCCAGCATATATGATTAGTTTTTTAGTATAATGTCCTAAGAACAAGTGACAGGACCAGTTCTATAGGAGCACTGGCCCCTCTTAACTACCCATGGTTAAAAAACACACCTGCACAGGCCAACACAGAATCATGCAGCAGGATGGCGACTATTAAAGGTATAGTGGAGGATGTTCTTTTTCCGGGTGGATCATCAAAATAAGTGGTCCTACTAATCGTCAATCATTCTGGTGATAGCTTTAAGTAAGGCCATCCTACATGTCGATAAATAGCTAATCTTCTTTTGGAAAGTAAACTTGTATGAGAGATGCAAACAGCAACTTTTAAACAGAGAGAAGGAGACATGGGCTGTTGCACGCCCTCACACGCATTTAATAAGCATTCCCTTCGCAAGCAGGTTGTGCATGTTATTATTTTTTTAAATGGAGAGGATGGGTCTTTTCAAAAAAAATTTTTTTAATCCTCCACTACACCTTTAACTAACCCAGAATGAAGAAAAATAAAAATGTGCCTGAAAGATTGCAAAAGTGGGATTGGTAGAGAAGGAATCATTTCTCCCAAAGGGCTCCCTATGAAGCAGTCGTGTTTTACTAAATTATGAGCCTTCCTTGTTGTGCAGTATATTGTAAATCTAACTGCAGTTAGTTCAGTGAGAAACATTTTTTTTGCATGTGCAATTCAGCAATGCCAGTTTGGAATATAAGATCAGTCCTTTAGACACCTGTAGTTTTTTTAAGCCTTACCTGTTTCACTTCTCTGCTTTTTCTCAAGCACCTGAGCAGACAGCCTCTCTGTAGGAAGATTATTCTGTATGCTCTGCAGGTCTGCAGTCTGCTGCCCTGTGCGACAGAAAAACAAGCCAAGTTAAAACGATGCTGAAGTTTCAACTTGCATCCAGTGGCGTGATTGACAAGTTGATTTCATGAATCTTTACAAATATTAAGGGCAGCTCATTGTGCATGTTAGACTCTGAGGGTACACTTAAATTTCAAATTTTAATGCATTTTATGGGGAGTTTTAATGTTACAAGATAGTTGTAGATGATTTTCTTCAACAGAGGAAAAGGACAGAATTATTGACAAGACAAATGGTGCTTAACATAGGAGAAGGAAAGTTCACCTTCTAGAAAGGTAAATGACCAGTCTTGGAACAAAAACTATGTAATAAAACTGTCTGTTTCTTAACAATGCTGGCGACGACTTCACAAAATTAGGTCTGTGGTTATAAAATGAAAAAATGATTGCCTCTTTGTTTACCCATTTTATTTTGGATATTATCTAATGACCAAAAAAAATCATCTTCTGGTCCTGTGTTTGCTGCATGCTTTCATACAAACAACCTTTTAGAGATGGATATTGGTAATGCCAGTATGTGAGGAGACATGATCGTATATTCTGCTGTGTTAGATGTAGGATGACTTGCGTAATTGCAAGAAGCCTTCTGCTTTATCTCCTCCAGTAGCAGATGGGGATGGAAGAATCTCTAGATTGTTTGGTGAGTTCCTCATGGCTTTCTCAGTCTGCCGCTGGACCCTATTGTTATTGTCAAATATCAGGGCTGCTCCAGAATGTAACACTTGTGCCGGTGAGAAGTTTATACCGGCTCATATCTGAAACTGTGAGAACTGACATTCAAGCAAACCGTAAAACTGGTAAAAAAAAAAAATAAAAAATAACAGTTTTGTACTACTACTTTTAATGCTTTACCCGGTCATAAAAAAAATATTAATTTTAATGTTGTATTCCAGATGTCCGTTTTTTTGTCTATAAATCAGAGATGTGATCATTACAAGAAAAGTGTATTTAAAAAGGATCAGATGACATAAAAAAATTTTGAAAGCTTTAACAGGGTTTAGATAAATATGGGGGCTAACAGGATGTTAGCCCCCATATTTATCTAAAACTTCTATCAGAAATAAGTGTTTTCGTTTTTAGATGAGTGGATTAGCATTATCCACATGTGAGGAGGCAGCTAATACACCAAATACATTGTCGAGAAAAGTCTCTAATTTGACGAGGTATTAGCCAGTGCTGCTTATACTGCTACCCCTGGCTGGATTTTCTTAGAAGCAGATTGCAGAGGCTCCTCACCCTCAAAAGCTTCTAAAATCACCATTATAGTTGGCCTTTTGCTCCTGCAGGCCCACTCTCCTTTTTTTCTTTACTTTCAGCTTGTGCTAGGAGGGCTAACTCACAACTACCACCGTAAAAGAGGAACATCACTCATTATGGGGGTGGAGGGTTTCTGCACAGCAGACAGGTGGCTCAACCCCCGCACTGTGCTTCCTCACAACAGAATACTTTTATGTTTCTCTCAAATACTGGTTTCAGTATTATGACTTCCTGTAAAAAAATTAATTATAAAAAATATGACTGGTTATCCTTTAAAAAATTCAAAAACAAAATAAAAATCCTTTCCGATGCCTTTTCTTCCCTCGATTCTACACAAACTCCACCAAGGTGCTCATAAGCTAAAATGGAAAAACAAATGTCTTCAAACCAAGTTTATTACTTTTTTTATAGCTTTTTTTTTTTTATAGCTTTTTTTTTTTATAGCTTTGATTTGTTAATTTTATTTACTAACTTTTACAACACCACAGACACCCTGGACTTTTAAATCCTGTAAAGTGTTCTCCCTTAAGAGTTTAGCTTTTCCCTTCCAAAATTTGTGTGCTCACCCACATCTTATCAACAACAGACAGGCAACGGTGAGAAATCTGCATAGAGTCAAGGTCAAAGAGTTTAACACATTCAGGCTTTCTATGGCCTGTCCTATCATCAACGAGTAGAGGAATTATCTGGGACCAAACTCAGAAGTTGGTTCATGAGAAGAAATAAAATGACAGAAGAGATCATGATACTCACTGGTCTGGTGGCGCTCACTCTTAGGGAAAGCGGAGGCCGGTCGATGAAAAGCAGCTTGTTTGTGTTCATTTGCGATGCTTTTCACAATTTTCAGTGCTACAAAAAAAAAAAAAAAAAAAGTGAATTCCCAGACATTTAAGATCAGCAGAAAATCCGATTGTCATTATGAGTAAAAAAAACTGTTTTGTAGAAATATTTTTCAAAACATTTTTGAACTTTTAATGATTGTTAATTTATTGAAGTTACAGTTTAATTTAGTTTTGCATCTATGATCTATGATTAATGCACATCGGCAACTTTGCGCCCTGTTAAAAACATTTATACCTCCTAAATTGATAAAAAGTTTAAATGTTTTTACAAACATGGATGTTTGTTAATTTCTCTTCATTATAACATCCCTGAATGAAAATCCAGGGCAAACCATCTTCTTCATAAATCAACTCGTTAGAAAATACAGCCCTTCTGTTTGTTCAGGAAGATCAATGAAGGAGAAAAAGGTTTTGTTGTGTCTGAACAGGAACCCTTTAGAGACGCTACTGAAGGGATCTGCTTTCTAAGGTGAACATATCAGCTGTCGAAACCAGTGTTTTCGCTTTCTGATGTGAAAATAAGACCAAATGAATGATTGGTTGTTCTAGGAATAACGGTTATATAACAAATGTTTATTAGATCTGACCTTAACTCTAAGGTCTGTCTGACAGTGAATCCTAAAACAATCTAAGAAGATAATCATAGACAAAATAATATGAAGTCCTGAAAGGGAAAGAATGGAGATTTTTGAATGGTGATTCTCTGCTTATTGTAAGTAGAATTTTGTCCTTTGAATTTTGTCCTTTGAACACTTTGGGTTAAGAGCTTTTTTCTTTTTTTAAACAAACAAAATCTGTCTAAAATGTGTTCATACTGTAAAATCCCAATATTTATGCTGACCCAGAGGGTTACTATCAAATTTGATTGAGCTTGTGCTATGGACAAAACCATTGATCTCTAAATGTGCATAGATGTTCGGGATGCTCTCCAAATTATTTGGATTTGCAGCAAAACAAGCTAACAAGTACCGACATGGAAGCCTGAATAAAAATGCATGCAATATTTAACAGCATCATGTTTATAATAAAAGAACAAGCAGCTTCCCTCATGTTTACAATAAAGTGCACCAAACTCCTACAGTTATGACAAGTTCAAAGGGTACAAAACTTATAAATTTTTAAAATGAAGCCATCACAAAAATCAGAGCACATTTAGTGTTTATGTTAGGTGTTCTGTATAAATCCACAACTGATGCATTTCTTTGCTTTCTGTAAAGGTATTTTAGCAAAGAATAAAAGCATTTGATAATTACCTTCAGTGAATGGAGCGGTCCGGAGAGATTCATGGAACTCAGGTCGAAGCAATACAGACTTATGGGAGAAAAAAACATTTATTTCACTTATTTAATCACAAAAGATTCAATGTAAGCTATACAAATAAATCACAGGAGATAACGGAAATGATTACTGTGACTCTGGGTACCTGCGCGTCCACTTTAAGGAACCTTTCCCGCTTTGACAGCTCTCGGACAATGTCCTTTAATAGCCCAGCTTTAAATTCAGGAGGCAGGTCGTCCTGCAGCCAAAACATCTCCAGGCACCTTTGATGCTCCCTCCTCTGAGGAATATTGAAATTTAAAAAAAGGAAGATTTTCGAACATTTAATGCACTGAGTAGCTGATACATACCAAGTGCTGGAGCTGGTGGTCACGGCTGACCATATGTTGACAGATGTCATGGGTTGAGAGCGTCTTTTCACAGACTTCGCACAGGTAAAAGGTCTTCAGAGAAATACCCTGACACTCCCACACATAGTCCCTACCTGGTGGCCACAGAGCATTTTAACATGTTGCGTGTTTCTTTAAACGGAGAGGATGCTAAGGATGCACTGTTAGTGAGACACTCACCGATGACCTGTTCAAGATCCTGGCCACATGCTGTCAAGAAAAGGGACAAACGACTGGAGCCCTGAACCTTGTTTCCTGTAAGAAAACTTTTATTACTACAAATCGGGGCATGTACATACAGGCTTCAAAACAGAGAAAGAGTGATTCAGAACACTTACCAAAGGAAGTAATGGAGTGTGTCTGTAGGGCACTGTTGTCTTCACAGAGTTTGTGGCGTTTCGGAGGAGGCTCTGCATTGTGGCTCAATTCAGATTGGTTCTGCTGTCCTGCCACAACTTCCCGCTGACTGCTGACTTTTACAGGTAAAACCTCTGCAGGTTCTGCAGGATTCTGTGTCTTCTGGGAAGCTGCATCTCTCTCCCAATGAAGATGATCGCCACTCTTTGACCCTATGTCCACCTTTGCTTCTGAATAACAGAATTAAAAAGAGTGATGATATATATATATATATATATTTTTATTTTTTTATTATATATTTCTTATGCTTGTGGGAGCAACTTTGGTTAAAGAAAAAAGTATTCAACACCAGTCATCTCTTGCGTGCCAAAGGGAATTAACAGCCTTCATAGTCACATACACATCATCAAGAATCTTCAACATATCGCAGAGTGATACACAGACATGGGAACGCTCTCTACCAATGAGGTGTTTTGCTAAATATCTCACTGTTCCAGACCCCCCTCCTTTTCCTGTAACTGGAGCCAGAGTCTGATGAAGACAGATTAAACTGTTTACCAAAGTTTCTTCGCCCAGCACACACTAAGGACTGGACTGTTTTTATCTGGCCAGACATTATGTAGCCAGAGAACTTGGCAGGACAAGTTTCTTTCCCTTGGAAACTATTCTAATATTTCGAAACGCAGATGTGCACATTCAGACAACAACAAGACCTAAATAAACTATCAATATTATAAGGTTTATACCCTTTTCACCTCCAGTATGATTTAATCTCACAAAAACAAAACCTGAGAGTCAAAACATATGTAGTCGATTTAAGATGCAAATGCTTGCTGTAAGCTAACCAAACAAAGAAAAAAATTGATTTTCTTTAAAGGTTTTTCACACATCTTCATCAAGGGTACGAACATATCTTTTCAACCCTCTGAGACTAAACATCTTAACTTACCAGGGTCATCCACTGTAACTGTGATTTTCTGAGGCTGGTTGTTATTTTGCTCCTTAAGCTGATGCAGTTGGAGAGTTTCTGAATTTAACGAAAAACAAAATGAAATATAATTCAACTGGAAATTTGATTACAAAAATAAAACATTGATATCTTCAAACATCATACCTGCTTCATCCTCATCTTTACTTCCTAGAACAGGCTCTTGGTTAAATCTGCTGCAGCTCATCAACTGTGGCTGATCCTGGATCAAACTGGCGGCTTCGATGCTCTGTCTTCTTAGTAACTCGGTTGAACAACTCTTCTCTGTGCTTTTTAGGATGGTCTCTGATTCTAAAGATAGTGAAATATTACACAGCGCTCAACAACACCTTTACCTTTACGCATGGTGAAATTTGCATCAATACATCTGGCATTCGGATCAGTTATTTCTATATTATGCGTCATGAATTCATTTTTAAAGAAAAACAGCCAAAGTGAACCTAAAACCCTTTAGGATATTAAAAATACACCAATCATAACTCAATACTGCTTTAAAATTCCTCACCTCCAGTATAAAGAGAAGTTACACTTTTATTAAATGGAAAAATCAAGTACCGTATTTTCACGACTATAAGGCGCACTTAAACGTCTTTTTTTCCCCTCAAAATGTGCGGTGCGCCC